AAGCAAGTAGGGTCTCTTATTTCACATCTCAACACCTTCCACCATTTGCTCGCAGCATAAATGAAATGCTTCTTACTGCACCAATATCATGTGACAAGAAAAACAAGGTTTTAATGTTGGTCAGTGCAAGGGTTTTAGTTTTGGAACACAGACTCTCACAAGACATCTTGAAAGTGCTAGATGTTAGAAATGTGTTCATTAGCTTTGAATAAGAAACAGCCATAAAATATCTAATTTTAGTAGATCACTTTATTTCTAGTAGGAGTTACTGAATGTAAATATTTAGAGCCCTTCATAGATACAACATTTGTATTCACATCTGCAAAAATGAACCACAGATATCAGCATCCACATCCGCGGATATCCACAGATTTGCAGGGCTGTATAAATATGAAGAAGGCATTTTAATTTAACATCTATCCCAGAAAAATTCATAAAGTACTATTTTATTGTCCTCCTTCAAATTCCTCAAGACTTATTTCTGCAATATTAGCATATTGTCAGTTGATAACAACTAGGTAAGTGGCATGCTGCAGATAACCTACAAAAGCTTCACAACTTGTTTTACTGCCTCCTCCTCCCTTCTGCACCTCCTCCTCATATGTTTGGTTCTTCCAACCATTACGTATTGTCATTCACTCCTTCTGTTGCAACATCCTGTATTGATCAATATCAGAGACAGGAAATCTGATTAAACATTTGGTATGATATAGCAATTACTACTAAAAAGTACTAAATGTTTTCAGCTCCCACTCTCATTAGCTCACAAGTGGCTATATGGACTGGTACCACCTATTGTGTTGGTGAGCCCAACAAGTTCTGATTTTATTGTTTGTAAAAGGGATTGCAGGGATGGGGAAAGATACAGCCTGAAGGCCAACCTGCCAAGCCTTTGAATCCAGCCTGTGGCCCATTCTGCCTGGACCCTCAGGTACAGAGCAGCCCCAAGCTGCTCAAAGTGACTGGCTGCTCCATGTGCCTCTCTGTGCCACACACCGGGAAGCTGAGAGATTGTACTGGGGGTAGAGGCAGCACATTAAGCCTCCTCTCTCATAAGGGGCATGTGGTGCAGAGAGGCACATGGAGCAGCCAGATGCTTTGATTGGCCTGGGGTTGTGGCAGGCAGGTAGTCCGCCTGAGGGTCCTGATGAGCTGCTGGCTGAGAGCCACCTCAGTAAGTGTCTCCCTTCCAGAGCCTGTCTTTGACATCCCACCCCATCCTGCACCACAATGCCCTGCCCTGGGTGATCACCCCCTCCTACCTCAGGTCACCACCCAAGCCCTGTGAACCATTGCCCCAGGTCATATCTCCCTCCCAGACCCTGTACCCCCTCCTATACCCTTCCTTCAAGCCAAAATTCTCTCCTGCACCAATACCTCATCCTAGACTGTGCACCCAATTCCCTGCCCTAGGTCATGACCTCAGCCTTTATCCAAACCCCCTCTTGGACCCACACCTTCTCCTGCACTGAAATCACCGACCTCAAGCTCCCTTCTGCACCCAAACCCTGTCCCAGACCCTGTACCCTATCCATAGAAAAGTGCAGCCCTGGACCACTTACCAAAACCTTGGAGTGGCCTTCATCAAAAATTATTGCCTACCTGTGGGATACAGTTTTTCCCAGGTAAAAGTCTCAAAGATTCTAGCTGACAATAAGAAACCATGTATTTGAGAGGGCTTTATGTAAAAAAATTGAATATCCCAAGAAAATCCTAAAAAATAAATCAATAGAGCTGCATCTGCACACACCAAGGTTTATATTTTACCCTGAATAGTTAAACTTCCCCAAAATGGATTTTAGCTTCTACCAGCGAATACATTTGTGGATATAAGTCATGTCCTTACCTTTATTTGTACATATTATTGCCTGATTTAAGGCCTCTATACATATTTTAGAAATTTCCTTTGATACCTTATGGGGGCTGAAGTTTTTCTAGAGATGCGATATCACACTAATAGACTCATTGTGATGTATATAAACTGGCTGAGATTTGCACATTAAAACTTCATAACCCCAAGTGAACAATACACATTCCTCTGAATAGAGCAGACCAGGGAGACGGGGAGCAGCTTTTCTCGCCCCGGAGGAGACGGGCGGCGGGACCAGGCGTCCCGCCGCTCCAGTCCTCCGGGGCGAGAAAATCCCTGTTCGTATCTGCGGATCCGACATAAGTCGGATCCGCGTAACTCGGGGACTGCCTGTACTTGATAAAGCATACTTGGTTGCTAGGTGTTTTAAAAGGAACTGAGGTTTTGTTTTTTTTTAAAACACAGGGAAATTCCATCCCTGGGATACAGCTTAAAGTACAGTGTAAGTGGAGGGGGAGGAGGGAGAGAAGAGAACATGGACACAGAGAAGTTAACAAAACAACAAAATGAAATAATCTGATTGCATCTAAACAGACATTTCCCTATCTACTCATAATCCATGCTTTAAGGTCCAGTCCATTTCCATGCCCAGTATTTTTTGTAGGCATGGTAGTTCTGCCTGGTTCAATTCATCTTATTTCCCCAACTCCTGGCTTAAAACTCACACAAAGAATCAAGAAGCAAGTAGGGTCTCTTATTTCACATCTCAACACCTTCCACCATTTGCTCGCTTGGCTTCCTGCCAACACCTCCTAGCTCCCTGAGTTTCACCCTTTGGTTACTGAATGTGGGGATGTTCAGAGAAGGCCAGAACTCCTGTCCATCCCAACTGGCCAAACAAATATCCGCTTTGACTCTGGTGTGCTCCACTTCATTTACTGGGGCTAGCCATCCTGTGACAGGAGTTTAATTCCTTTAGGGTCTTTTGAAAAATTCCATCTTTAAGAACCAGTGTAGTCTTCCACACCTCTGTATCCCCTCCCGGATCCAAACTGCCTCCCAACCCATACCCCCTCCTGTACCCGTATCTCACGCCATAGTCCTGAGCCCGCTCTCATGTCCAAATTCCCACCCAGAGCCTGCACCCCACACCATTTTCTGTACCCCACACTCCTGCCTCAGGCTCAGCCCAGAGCCTCCTCCACTCTAGAGCCCACACAATTCTCTTGCACTCCAAACCCCTGCCTTAGCCCACTGAAAGTGATTGAAGATGGAGGACAGCAAGTGAAAGAGAGAGGGGGCATAGAATGAGCGGGGAGTGAGGCTTTGGACAAGTAGAAGACAGGGGTGTGGCCTTGGGGGATGGGTGGGGTTTGTGCTTTTAGACAGTTGGCAATCCTTCCCTTGGGAGCAGTTTCTCAACTCTTGGGTTGCACTCTATAGGGAAATCAACAACTGCTATCTTGGAGAAGGAGTTTGTTTCAGCTTCCTCCTAGAGGAACTCAAAGAAGTGCAACAGTTCATCCAGAAATTAAGGAGGTTCCAAATGATCCAGTGTAAAAGAGCTAGGAGCACATACATAAGTGTCTGAATACATGATTGCTGGAAGAAAAGAACTGAGAACCTGTGCTAGTGACATACACCAGTATCTGCAACCTCAAACCCAAATGAGGAAGACAGACATCCTGTTGATGCAAGACTGAAGCTGAAACGAGGAACCTTACTATTCCTGTAATAGAAACATTGCTATTGCAGACATATATGTGGCCTACTTCTGTGATCATGACTCAGGAAGCAGCAGAAAAAAAAAATCTATTGAAGTGCTACAAATAATTCTAACTGATATCCAATCAAACAAAGTTTCCTTCTGTGAAATACATAAAATGTTCAAATATGAGTGCCTATAGTTATATGCCCAAGTCCATATGTAGGCATCTAAATGCATGGTCTGAAGTTCCAACTGACTGCACTGAAAGTTAATAGTTCTAAAAACTCTGGACAGTTGTTTTTATTTGGGCACCTATATTTGAATATTCCAACCTTATATAATTGATAACACATTTAAAAAATAAATTTACTTTTCCACTATTTTTCTCTGCCATTCTTAATACAGGCAGTCCCCGGGTTACACGGATCCAACTTACATCGGATCCCTACTTACAAACGGGGTGAGGCAACCCCGCAGTAGCTGCTTCCCCCCAGCAGACCAGGGAGACGCGAAGCTAGAGTTTCCCCCCACCCACCCCAGCAGACCAGGGAGACGTGGAGCGGCTTTTCTCAGCAGACACCTCAGCTTGAGACTAAAGGACTGAGGGAAGTGAGGTGTGGGAGAATAAAACTGAGCTCTGGAGAAATGTTTGGCTAGAGTTTCCCCTACAATATGTACCAGTTCCGACTTACATACAAATTCAACTTAAGAACAAACCTACAGTCCCTATCTTGTATGTAACCCGGGGACTGCCTGTACTTGTAAGTGCTTTTCATTTCTTTCCTTTTAGAAATATCGGGATAGGAAATGAGAATCAAGCCTTCCACTAATCCAAAAACACACAATTAGTTCCCTGAGACATCTTCTAGTATACTAAGCTTTTATGTGGTCACATGGACACAAACAATGGCTGCAATCTAAATATTGCTGTATTTGTTAAGAAAACTTGTGTCTATGGTAATTTGCAAAAAGCAGAAGTAATTCTATTGAGCTCAGATCTTCAGAAAGTGTATTTATACAAAACCTAAATTATACAAAACATGTCAATGAACATCTACAAGAGAATTTTAAAAAAAATCCAGTTTAAGAAAAGGAGACCAACAAGTTCTGAACTATACAGAGAGATACATAATGAAAAGAATTAGGAGGGAAAAAGAAACCCAATCCTACTAATGGTACAGAGCACACTTTGAAAAAAAGCTCAGACTTGAGTAATGTAAATATGACATTATGTCAGACTTTGACATGAAACACTGTCAAATTAAAGAAAATCCAGGATGATCTATAGCACTCTGAATAAGCATTCTCTGAACACTCCCTGGAGTCATTAAAGCTACTATAAATGATACTGAAATGGTCACACGAACTGTAATGTACATACTGCTCAATGACACTGTCGGAAACCCGCAAACAACATGGGACTAAAACTAATAAAGATTCAAAATTGAACGTGAAAGGTAAATATGCTTCAAATGAAATTACCTGAGGAGGTAGGGTCTTCAGAGAAGTCTGGCAGCTCTTCAGGGGGATCCCCATAGAAAGAATTGAATTTGTGGCTTGATACTGCTGCTAGTACTGCTCCCTGATTAAACAATACAAAGTCTCAGTCATAAGCAAGTCCAACAAAATATTTGTTTACGAACACTATGGATCAATCACACTGATGCCTCCCAGACTGTCTTCTCATTACAGCTGAGAGAGATTTCATGTACTTTCTCTCAGACCTGACTGCTGCAGTGAACAAATCTCATAGCACAGCCAGCTATACATCGAAGTATTAGATATGGCAGCCTGCCTCTCTGTGATGGTTATGGTGAAAATACAGCATTTATTTTTAAATTACCGGGATGCTGCTTCTCCATACTTCTCAGGTCAATGAAGAGCAGGAGAGAAAAAGCAAAATGCCCAAAGCACAGCTTTCACTAGCACATGAGCAGAGAATAATGGAGAACCAAAGCCTCCCAGTGTAACACGAACCACAAGACTCAGTACTCTAACTGATAAGGTACAGATTGGCACCTTCAAGAAATGACTGGTGCTCAACTAGAGGATTTGCCTAACCTCAGGAGGTCAATATTGTCTAGCAACATTACCAACACTCCCACTGCTTACTGGGCTCCTAAAAGACAGAACTAAATAACACAGAACACCAAGAGCCAGGACTGGGGGATGTACACAAACTTTATGGGGGCAGTCATTTAAGCCATTGAGAAATTTTATCTCCGCTTCTCTTCCTGAGGTGACATGTATCCAGTCAATATGGGGGTAATTAAAATCCCCCATTATTATAGAGTTCTTTATTTTGGTAAAAGCGACGAGGAGTCCTGTGGCACCTTATAGACTAACTGAAGTGTAGGAGCATAAGCTTTCGTGGGCAAAGACCCACTTCGTCAGATGCATGTAGTGGAAAACAAGTAGTTTACATTTGTTAATCAAGTAGTTTACATTTGTTAAAAAAGAACCTGAATGGACCGATCTAGTCTTGAAGCAAGACTAGAGAAGAAAGGATATATACAAACCCTCCCCCCAGTACACTGGATGAGTTGAGGAGAGCAGAAAAGCCTGCTGGCAAAGCCAATAACAGGCTCCCCAAGGAATTCACCCACTTTATGTGGGCAAAGAGGAACTCACTTCTAGAGCATTGAGAATAACCTATTCTCCACTGCAGTAGTTGACACGAAAACCAGGGTGTCAATGTTAGGAGGATTTGGCTTTCTTCATAGGCATTCAAAAAAACCATATGAGTAGGCTCTTTCACAACTGTATCTTTGGAATGTGTTAAGTGCTCTCTATGAGTTTCATTTAATTATCACATACAATCAGTTACTTGAAACAAAATACAGGACTATGCAGCACTTTAAAGACTAACAAGATGGTTTATTAGGTGATGAGCTTTTGTGGGCCAAATCCACTTCCTCAGATCAAATAGTGGAAAAAAATTGTCACAACCATATATACCAAAGGATACAATTAAAAAAATGAACACATATGAAAAGGACAAATCAAATTTCGGGGGGGGGTAAATGTCTGTGATCTAATGATATTAGAGGTGATAATTGGGGAAGCTATCTTTGTAATGGGTAAGATAACTAGATCCTTTGTTGAGATTCAGGTGTAAAGTGTCAAATTTAGTCTTTAAAGTGCTACATAGTCCTGTATTTTGTTTCAGCTACACCAGACTAACAGGGCTACATTTCTATCACTAATCAGTTATTTGGTTACACTACTGTCTAGCAACAGAGGAGCATTTTCCCCCCCACTAACCTGACTTTTAATCTACAAATTAGCAGACAAAGAGTGCAGTCTAGCATACTGTGGGCTGCATATTTCCTTATGATACTATGGGTTTTTTTCCACCAGGAATTTTTTTTACTGATGTTGATGAACCTCCTGCCATAAACCTTAAAAAAAGCTTATCACTTAGTACGTCAGCACATTACAGTATATAGAAATACTGTATAGAGTGGCCTTAAAATAACACTAGAAACCAGAGAGAATGAGCCCTAGTGGTGATAAAATATGTCTTGTTTTTTGTCTGCTCCCTAAAATATCTTGCCATGTTTAAACTGAAATAAATTAGGCACCTGTTTTATTTGGAAAAACAAAATACTTAAGAATTTTTGGATTGTTCTGCTCAAATCATAGAGTAACTTAAAGATGGGCGTGTCATTGAGATGTACTAGTAAGCTTAATTTTGTGATCTCTCTCTCATACAGGAGAAATTATATTTCTTTAATATAATTGTGATCCAAATATATGTAGTTTACTGCTTCTTACACTATTTTGAAATGCTGGTACATATAAGATACAAGTCAAGCTTTCAAAATAAATTAACCTCATTCTGTTGACATGTTAACAATTGACAGATTTATTAATACCAACGGATGACGAATGAAGACTCTCACCTAGAATATTAACATATAACAGAACTAGGAAGATATACACTGAGAGAAAGAGAAAACGGATGCATTACTGCTTCTTTTGCCTTTTTGTTTTGCACTTGTGATTCACTGGTATTGCTCAAGAGAGCAAAGCCAGCTGACAGTTTTTTAAAACTAGTGGCATTCTGCGTTATATTTTTAGAAATCTTCCAACAGCTTAAAAAATATGAAACCTTTTATGCAGTTATTACTCTAAATATTTCTGAGAAACTAGTTCTAAATAAAGCAATATATTTATTTGATGAATCATACACAGCAATAATGAGAAACTTAAGAACAGTTTCAAGTGAATTAAACAGGAAACCTGTGGTTTATAGTTCTGTATCTTTATGAAAGTTAAAGATGTAATCCTTACTTAAACCAAGGAACAAAGGAAGAGCTTGGCTTTGAAAATGAGAAATATTATTTTACCCTATTTATTTTTGTAACTCTTATTCTGTCAAAGGACAATTGCAATATTGGCTCTAAAAATGCCAAAAGCTAAAATTAAAGATTCACAGACAGCAGAGATTCCTTTTTGCCTAATTATTCTTTCAAGTCGTGTTTTTTAGTGTCTGGTTTCAAGTGGTGCTAAATGACCCTGATAACCTAGCCTCTGATATTAAAAAAATTCCACACATCTCTCACAGACCACAGAAAATATTTTAAGGTACTCAATAAAACTTAAAATCGTGTAATCTAAGCTGTTGTAAATAACTAAAATATAGTCAATTTCCCCAAATAAGGCTCAGAGTGCGCATTTAAAGCACAGATGTGCAGAGGAAAGAGCTCAGCTACAACACCCTGGGTAGCACTCTTCAGGTGCATCTACACTGCACCCTTAACTCAAAATAAATTATGTAATTTGAGCTATGCACATTGCGTAGCTTATTTTGAGTTAATTTCAAAATAGCTTATTTCATAATTTGGCGATGTCTACATAGCACCAAATTTTGAAATAATCTGCTATTCCAAAATGTCCCTTAATCCTGGTGGAATGAGGTTCACAGGGACATCAGAATAGTGAGCCTGCTATATTTTGAAACAACAGGCTTGCTTAAAAGATGCAGAATAGCTATTTCAGGATACTAGAAGTATCCTGAAATAGGGTACATCTAGACAGCAGAGCTAACCCTGTGCCTCACTGAGCAATGTAATGCATGAGAGAAAATGCTGCTGTTCTACTCATCAAGAGACTGTAGTGCACAGCATTCCCTCTTTGAGGCTAGTCACCTGTAGTGATCTCTTTTCCCATTTGGGGTTGCCTGCAGGACATAACAGGGAGAAGTCTAATACTCAAGAGAGGGAGAGCTTAGAGACTGCGACTGGTGTTTGCATGGTGGAAAGTGAAGTTTTTGAAGCTTCCATATTTTCTTGCACAAAGACACAATATGGAACCATGTATAAAGCATAAAACATACACACAAAACAAAAAACATCTCACTTGGGAGGATTTAAGTAGGTTAAAGGAACTGGAAAGATTTTCTATTCAGACAGATGCTTAAGACAGGTAAAGATTTGAGAGTAAACTTAGATTTGGAACAATTATATCAGAACAATTTTCATAGAATCCTAGAACACTAGAACTGGAAGGGACCTGGAGGGGTCATCGAGTCCAGTACCCTGCTCTCATGGCAGGACCAAGCACCATCTAGACCATCTCTGACTGATGTCTTGTGCAGGGCTGGGTACAATCTGATCTCTAGAGAGAAAATTAACACTTTATTGGAAGATAGTATTAATGTCCTATTTTTTCAACTCCTAGATTTCTGAAAAGCAATGGTTGCTTCCGGTTACTAAGGTTACAGTACATTACATGGTTATAAAAAACTGTAAAACTAACATTTTCAGTTACGAGATGTGCTGCAGTCCAGCAAAATTCAGAAGACATCACTAGACTATAACTGGTATTTGACTCTGAAATATCAATATGAAAATATGATAATCTCAGACTCCAGTTAGCTGTGAGAGATATTTCAAAGATGGAAAAAATTAAATATTAAGAGTATTGACCCAATGATAAAAGGACAATTTATTGTTTGCTCCTCAAAGAAAATATGATCTTAACTTACAAGTTTTACAGTGTTTCCTGTGTGTGGGAGCACTAAAATGAACAATCAGTACTTTCAGCACACCTCCTGAAGAACAGTAGCCTGGATAAAATAAAGTGGCAGGGAAAAGGTTGGTATAGTAATATAGTGAGGAGATTGGCCCTTTCCGGTCGGGAGAGATCAAAGCTGGCTGGACAGGGCCTGCGCAGAGCCTAGCAGACAAGTTTATAAGGAACTGCTCAGTAAAGCAGTGGGCAGTTGGGTCCTAACCAGAGAAGGTGCAGGACTGGTTCTCAGGGAGAAACACCATAGGAGGAGCAGTGCTGTACAGGCTCAGGGGAGTAGAGAGGGGCACTCTAGCCTGATACCTGCCAGGCTGTGGTCTTAATACAAGGGCCAAGAAGCAAGGATCAAAGGGAAGTGGTTCAGGGAGCATGAACAGTAAAGGGCAGTGAAGGAGGACAGGATGAGGCTGCCACCAGAAGCCCTGGGTTGGACTCAGTAGCGGGCAAGCCTGGATCTCACCCCCACCCCTTTGTCTAACCACACAGTGTGTGTCCTTTATACAATGTAGCTTGCCCCTGAGGTAACAGGGTTAGACTGTGGGGCTACAGTTGTCCACGGTGGCAGGTATGAGACTGACGACTGCTGAAACCCCCAGAAGGATGTGTGAATGGAGCGGTGTGCACTGCTGGAGAGCAATGAGCACGAAGAAGACAGCACAGTTCAGAAAGTGATGCAGGTCTGATGGTGGAGACATCTGAGTGGAGAATGATGATGGGTGAGACACTGGACAGAAGAGGGCACTCTACTGGGGAACAGAGCTAATTTCATGTGTGACCAGCAGGAGGCGCGACAGTGGTTGGTCAACCCCTGCTTATAAGTGTAATATAGTATTGAATGTACATAAACAATGTTAAGAGTATTTATCTCTATATTTTAGAAATGTGTATCTCTGTCCATCCATCTAGGAGTCAGTTTGTTTAAGAACTCCTTCTAAACAGTAAGAGCTAGGACCGCCAAATTTGGTATGCAGTTTCCTCTTTTCCTAACTTAAAGCAAGGTGAGAGTTTGGTTCTGCCAGGATCTGCCTGGAATGGGACTGTTTTCCATAACACAGAAATGCAGGGGGCTGATTGGAGGGATCCTAGACTACAGAGTGACCACTAAAGGCATCAAGGGCAGAGGCCATCTATACAGCAGAGTGATCATGGGGGGCAGTCACACCACCAAGGGTGGCCAGCTGGTGTCAGAGTGCCCACCCTCAGGATGGCCTGTACAACTCCTCCCTCACCCTCCCGCCCCGGATATGCCAGCAGGGCCAGCCTGCATGGCCCTCACCTATTTCGTACCTCCGGGACAAGCCAGGCAGGCAGGGTGCGCAGCCCCCCGTGACAGGGCATTTGCCCTGCACTGGCCCTTTAAGGGCAAAACCCCAGCCCTTGCTAACCAGGGCCCAGCTGGAGACTATATAAAGAAGGGCTCCTGAAAGGAGAGGAAGAACTGACTGCTGCTCTGGAGAGAGAGCAGTAGGGACTTGACTGCCAGGGAAGCAGGAGGCTTCCTGGAGGTAGAGCAGTGCTGGGGAAGGAAGGCAGAGCTGGGGAAGCTCCCAGGCTGCAGAGCCTGAAGCAAGGCCTGAGGATATTTGGGCTGTAGAGAGGCAGCCATGGTAGGCATGGACAGCAGGTCCACACCCCTTTGCTAGTGAGGAGTGGCCATTACAGACTGCAGTTTGTCCTTGAGGCAGGGGCTAGATGATGACTGGCTGTGGGTCACTGAGGCAAGGTAGGTTCAGGGGAACTGGGTATTCCCTGGGAGGAGAACAGGGAAGACCCTGGAGTGTGAGCAGGATAAACACCAAGCCCTGGAAGGAGGAGGCTTAGACACTGCAGTGGGTAGGGAGAGCTGCTGGAGGGCAGTGTCCTGAAGAGGGTAGTGAGAACCTGGGGAGACACCAGCTAGAGGGAGGCAGCCAGCCAGCCAAACAAGCTAATTCCCAGGACTGCAGGCTGGAGGCGTTATAGTGGTAAGTCTGCCCTGACACCCCCCCCTCTAACTCCGGGGGACCAGCTGGCACAGCCCCCCATTCCTAGCCCCAGGAGAAGCTGGAGGGCAAGTGTACAGCCTCCCCTGCCCCAGGGCAAGCCAAGGGGTGAGGTGCACTGTCTCCACCATTCCAGGTCAACCTCAGGGAGAAGCCAGCAGCCACCCCTACTACCCTGCCCTGAGCCCTCTCCCCCTACCTTGAGCTCTCCCTTCTCCCACCCCTCTACCCCGATTCCTGCATGACACTTACTGCCCTGAGCCCCTCCTCAACCCCGTTCTAATTCCAGCACACCTACACCCTTCCCTTAACCCATCTGCACAATCCTCAACCCTCACTCATGCATGCACCCACTCACCCACATCCCCCAGCCCTCTACCCTGACACCCTGACTCTTGCATTCTCTACATTGCCAGTCCCCTGCCTTAAAGGACCCAAGCAATACTGGGTCACAGTCCTCTAGTTGCCTAGAAAGTAAGGATCAAAACCCTTGTGTAGCCTGGAAAAATAGGTTGGTTTTAAAAACATGTTAACTAAAAAGCTTTAACTAATGCAATTTTAAATAGGACTTTGTATCTAATGTGGGCAAGATGTGTTTAATAACATGTTATCTGATCATAGTTAAAAAGAGGAAAGCTGCTAATTTATTCAGAAGCATGAGAACTATTTCAGCCATGGTTAGAATTATTCAAAACTTCCATAAGGAAACTTGTCAAAATTAATCTGATTTTGCATTTTGTTACAAACCCTACAATTGGCATGGATTTTCCAAAAGAACACACAAACATACCCAAATCTTTTGATGAACCTAGGCCAAATTTCATTTAAAAACCACTCCATGGATTTATAATCTTGAGTGGAAAACAACTGAATGCTTGGTTGAATCACAACATTCTTTTCCATATAGCTGGAAACTGTTCCTATGTATAATTAAAAGCTGAAGGGACATTCTTAAGAATACCTCTTTGCAAAGAGCTATAGCCTGCCCCCAGAAAAGCAAATCAAATTGTATTTGCCCCTTGTGAATGTTTTGCAGTGGGTCTGTTGAAGCCAGTTGAATGTTTATCCTTTGTTGATATTACAAGAAACAGAACAGAATAATATAGATAAAACTAAGAACTAAAAATTAAAATATCCTGGGCATAGGAGTAACTCAAAAGTGTATAAACCGGCGGTGATATTTTTCACATTTTATAAAAAACCCAGGAATCTCTCTATTCCCAACCACAGGAAAGACATTCTTCCTCCAATGGCAAAGAGTAAAGAATGGATGGCTATAGACCTGTGGAATCCAGCCTATAGTGAACTAGCCACACACACCTGGCCAAACAGCCACATTGTTCAAGCCAACTAGCCACATTCAATGGGCCAAACAGCCACATGGAGCTAGTGGCTAGCGTGTTGGACACCACAGCTGTAGACTGCAGCTTGATAAATGCTCCTGCCCAAAGGCTTAAATCACAATCTCAAAGGAGGTGTTCTAGAAATGTCTGCAGTATGTTAGTGTAATGTTAAGAGCATGAGGATATAGGAACATGAATTATACTGGGAACCTAATGCAGACAACAGTTTTAGGGGGGAAGGAGAAGGAATGTTGCTAGGCTACCATAACCACAGAGAATCATCTATCAATGATTACCTATGAAAAAACCACTTTTTTAAAGAAGTCCTATTTCTGTGAACGAGACGAGTGTGTTATATTTCATCTATAATGCATTTGATTTGAGTTTGTCCCAAAATCTCATTTTAGTTCAATGAATAACAATATAATCTTTAGAAAACAAACAAACAAACAAACAAACCCCAAATAGTTTTGCAGCACCTTAGAGGCTAACAAAACAGAACATGTAGATGGTATCTGAACTTTTGTGGGTACAACCCCTACCCACGAAAGTTCCTGATACCATCTACATGCTTTGTTAGTCTCTAAGTTGGCTGCAAGACTATTTGTTGTTTTTTAATTTTTTCGAGTTACAGACCAACAAAGCTGCCCCTCTGAAGATAATCTAAATAAAGATATCTTATATTCAAGATAAACTGACAAATGATCATTGGACTAATTAATATTTGAGCTAATAATTCTGGATATTTCAGACTATACACGCTCAATTTTTAAATAAAACCAAGAGATTAAAATGAAGGGGACTAGCATCTGCAGCATGAGAACAGCAAACTAATCTATGCTAAATATCTATTTCCACTTTGTTTTATCTTTAACATAGAACTCTTGACTCATATTATAAGTCTGTAAGGTACAGCAAATATCAGAATGCTCCGAAGTGCCCCACATAGATTCCCCTGTTGTGCTCTAAAACATTTCTAGTGCATGTGTCTGGGTCAATATCAACTTATACTAGGTATCATGCAGACCGTGTATGTAGAGAGTACAAGGGGCACTTAAAGCACAACACTTTGGAGCACTCTATTATTATACCTTCCTAGTATGCCTTGTACCATATAAACAAGCCTTATGACACTTAATATGGGAATTCTTTCATATAGAATTAAATACCAGATTTCTTTTTTAATATTTTCAAAATTAAAAAAGCCCATACAAAATGTAATGCAATGCAATTATAGCTGTCTTATGTCAGATTCCTTTTACCTTTAGTTTCCTTCTTGCATTGAATTTCCTCAGTTGCTCTACTGTTTCTGGAAGATGAATCTTGTATGCATAACGATCCCTCTCCTATAATAATAATAATAAAAATAATAATAAACACTAACTGTGTTCTGACAAAAGCTATTAAAAATTGGCCAAAATATGCATTAGATGCTAAATTATCACTGAACAAGTTGGGATTTGATTACTATGATGTAACTGTTAAGGAAACATTGAGGAACCATGATGCTTAGATTCCAGAATGGAAGAAAGGCAGTTGATGTGTTGTCAATTCCTGTGGCTTAAATCTATTGCCAGTTGACAGAATATTAATGGAACAAATTCTGCAAATGGCTGGGTGAGCATTTTTCCTAAATTTGTGAATTACAAAATAATCTGAGTTAAATAACATGAAATCCCCAATGTGAGTTGCTTCGCATATGCTGGATTTTATTTTTTCTTTCTGTACTTTGTAAATTTTCAACCGCAACAAAAAGAAAAGTGTATGAAAAAAATTATGCAATCTATTCAATACCAGAGATTAACTCTTAAAAGGTAGAACCTTAAAAAAAACCATATCTGATGCAATGTCAGAAAGAACAGTTACTTTCCTTTGTAACTGTTGTTCTTTGAGATGCATCACACCCCTTCCAATATATGTGCCCACACGATGCATGCATAATCGTCTGAAGATTTTTTTCCCTAGTGATACCCATTGGGTTGGCTTCAGCGCCCCTTGTGGTGATGCCTTGCAGAGGTGTACTTATACCACTGCTGACCCAACTCCTGCTTCAGTTACTTCTTGTTGGAACAGTCCGAATGAGGGGAGGTGGGTGGGTCTGGAATGGACATGAGCAACATATCTTGAAGAACAGCAGCTAGAAAGGTAAGTAATCATTCTCTCTCTTTTGAGTGATTGCTCATGTGCATTCCAATATGTGATTTACCACAGTTTGTATGGAGGATAGATCAGACCTTAACTTGTTGCTGAGTGCAGTACAGCTCTGTTGAACCCCACATCATCCCAGGACTGCTGGGTGAGGGCGTAATGAGTTGTGAAGGTAGCTACTGAGGATGATGTAGCTGCCCTGCAGATGTCTTGATTTGGGACTTGTGTCGGAAAGGCTGCCACTGAGGCCTATGCCTGAGTGGAATGCCCTGTGATAGATGGAGCTGGCATCTTGGCCAGGTCATTGCACAGCTCAATGCATGCAGTGATACAGGATGACAGGTGCTGCTATGTAATCGGGAGGCCCTTCATGAGGTCCACAATAGAGATGAAGAGCTACAGAATGGTTTAGTATGCTTGATAAAAAAGGCAAGAGCACACTGGGAGCATAGTGCCCTCCTCCCTATACACAGCATGTGGTTTTGGAAAGAAAACAGGGAGAAAAGTGTCCTGACTGACGTGAAAGAATGACGCTACCTTCAGCAGAAAGGCGGGATGAAGCTGCATCTGTAATTTGTCCTTTTAAACAGGGCTCAACAAACTGTGGCAAAATCCACTCGCCAGCCCTGCACCACGCATGCACCATATCCGCATTGCGCATGTGCGTGCTGCCGGTGAATGGGGTGACCGGCTGAAATCTACTTGCCATGGGTGAATAGATACACGTATTTGTCAAGCCCTGCTTATAAAAACAGTATATGGAGGCTTGAAAGTAAGGGCTCTCAGTTCCAACACTCATCTGGCAGAAGAAAGTGTTACCAGAAAGGCCACTTTGTATGAGAGGTAGGTTAGAGAGCAGGTAGCTACAGGCTTGAACAAGGGCAGGGGGGAGAGGCATGAGCCAGGAGAGCACCAAGTTCAAGTCCCATAGCTGTAACAGTTGCCTCACCTGAGGGTAGACAAGCCAGACCCTTACAGAAATGATCCACTACCAAGTCCATGAAGAGGGACTTCACCCCTGGAAAGCTGAAATATTTTGATGTACAAGACAGACAGACTTTGGCATTTTAAGTGAAGGAAGTAGTCCAGGAGAAGGGAGCCGTGGTCTGTGGGGATGGGGAGGCATACCCTTATCAAAGCACCACAGAAAAAACCTCTTCCATTTAGCCTAGTAGAGGGCTTGCAGCTGCCCATTAAAGCCTCCCTGACCGAATCCAAGCACTGGTGCTTGAGGCAGTTTAGCCATGGAGCTTCCACACCATGAGGTGGAGTGACTCCAGGTTCCGGTGACTAGTCTGCCAAACTCTTGAGTCAATGGACTGGGAACCAGGGAGAGTGCTATGCGTCTGGCCACCAACTGCGTCGGGACTACAGCATAGTGAACCAATGTTGCTTCAATCATGCTGGGGCTATCAGTATGATTGCCGCTTTGTCCTATTGAATTTTGAGGATCATGGGAATTAATAGCCCTGGGGAGAAAGTGTATAGGTACTGCTCCATCCACAACATGTGGAAAGCATCCCACAGTGACCTGTAGCAATGGTCCTGAAAGAAGCAGACTTGTGGGCACTTCCTGTTCAGAAAGGCAGTGAAGAGGTCCACCTGGGGATGACTCCACTCTCAGAAGACAGAGAATCATGTCTGCTTGGAGAGACCACTCATGGGAGTGAAAGGATCAGCTGAGGCGATCTGCAACATCAATCTGCATTCCTGGAGGTTATGAGGCTTGCAGGTGATAATGTGAGAAATACAGAGGTCCCACAGGGCGATGGCCTCCTGCAAAGGAGACAGGAGCAAGCACCACCCTGTCGACCAGGATTGGGCAAAAGGGCTTCTGTGGCCTGGATCCAGTCCACCAATAGGGTTGATCTGGCCTGTGGAGGCCCTGATGCTCCCCTGTCCCCAGATCAACCACACCCTGGTAGTTGACTAAGTGCCGTGTGCCCGAGGGCAGGGAGTGAGAGACTTCACACTCTCACCCAGTCCCCAGGCTCTGATTGGTCTGGGGGTGGGGTGAGCACATGAAGTCTCCTCCTGCCTTGCAAGGGGTGTGACACTTCTAAGTGCCTCACGCTCCTGGCAGGGTGGGAGGAGACTTCGTGTGTTCCCCGCCACCCCCAAACCCTGATTGGCCCGGGGAGGGGGAGCATGCAAAGTCCTCTCCCATCGCCCTGGCCCTGGACACCTAGAGGGAACTGCCTGTTCAGAACAGCTGGTGGCTCTCTCTGGGGAGCGTGGGGGCAAAGACTTCACAAACTCCCCCATCTCCAGACCAATCAGGGTCTGTGGGAAGGGATGCACGGAAATGTCCTGGCCCTACCTCTTCCGTGGCAGCCTGGGGCCACATCAGACATTTTTGTTCCCCAGTCAACAATTACTGTCCTTCTCTGGTGTAGATCGATATAAAACATTTCTGTGGTGTTGTCCGTCATGACCAGGATACACTTGCTATGCGGAACCAGAGCTTTCTTATGAAGGCACATAAATTCCCGAGGTCCAAGATGGGGGGCAGACCCTCTTTGGCCTTGGGAATAAGGAAGTACCAGAAATAACTCCCCCTTGCCGCTGAACTCCTGAGGAACCTACTCTATCGCAAGTGAGGAGCAAGTGCACCTCCTGGAGGAGAAGTTGTTCATGAGAAGGGTCCCTGAAGAGGGTCAGAGAAAGAGGTTGGTGGGAAGAGAGGGAGCAAAATTGGATAGAGTATGTGCTCAGGACCCAACAATCTGAGGTAATTTGAGTCCAGGCATGGTAAAAGTGGGACAGTCAGTTCCCAAAGGAAGGGGAGAGATCTGGGATAGTGTCTGGTGCTCTGCCCTCGGGCACATCCTCAAAAGTTAGGCTTAGACCCAGGAGGCTGCTTGGAGGCATCCTGGTGCTGTGTGGAAGAGGAGGTGCCCTCCAGTTTTTGCACCTATCCCAATGGAGTCCCTGATCTCATCTGGGAGGGCCAGAGAAGAAGCGTGCAGGCTGTTGTTGTCTAAAATGCCAGTGCCATGGGGTGGGCATGTGGCTCCCTAGAGGTTTTGAAGTGATCCTAGAATCTTTTAGGCTATGGAAGCAGGAGACCGTTTTCTCTGCAAAGAGGCCAAAATTATCAAAGGAAAGGTCCTGTATTGTGTACTGAACCTCATCTGGGAGGCGGGAAACCTGAGGCCACAGAGCATGGCAAGCCCGCCCCAAGACCATACTAAAGGCAGTCAAGTCTACGGAGTCCAGGGCTGTCTGGAGTACCATCTTGAAAATCATGAGTCCCTCCTCCACCACTGCCACAAACTCCTGCTTCACCTCTTTGCGCAGTAGCTCCTGAAATTTGGGGAGAACATTTCAGGAGTTAAAGTCATAGCAGTTGAGAAGTGCCTGCTGGTTGAAAACATGAAGTTGGAGACCTCTAGTGGAGTACACTCTCTGTCTGCAAAGGTCCAGCCTCTTTATTCTTGGGTGTGAGACTTAGCTGTTCCTGGCACTTTCTATGATTGACTGTATTCACTACCACAGGCTCTGGAAAGTCCACTGACATCAGCCTCGATGGCCTTGCTCTGGGTGCAAGATTCAATGATGCCGGGGATGAGGTGCCTAGCATGGGCAGACTTGGCACCCTGCGGGCTGCCTCCAGAGTCTTGCTAGACCTCCTATAGAGATAGCAGCCCTGATCAGTCTGTCTCGTCTTCTTCTTAGGCACTGGCAAGTGATAACAGTACCACACTGAAAAGCCTACCGGGTGCGAAGGAAACTAGTGCCAGTGATCCTGTCACTCATCCTGGTGTGGCACCAAAGCCTGCCTCATCGATGCCTGTGTGCTACACGCCGAGGGAGTTGAGTCTTCAGCCCCATGACACAACTTATGTGCCAACTCCATCAGAAAGAGTTCAAGTTTCTGATCTTGTTCTCGTTTAATTCATGGCTTAAACCCTCTGCAGATATTGCACTTGTCTTACTGATGGCCTTCTCCAAAGCACTGTAGACAGGCAGCATGTGGGTCACCTCTGGGCATATATTTCCCACACTTAGCACATTTTTTGAAACTCTGGGGCCAATGCATATTGCACAGACTTCAGTAAACAAGTGGAGAGAGAAACTCCTGCAGAATGATTAACTATCTAAATGAACTAACAATGACTATCTACACTACAGAGAATTTGTGGAACAAAACACTAAGGAAGAACTACTTGCAAGGCAAGAAGTCAGACGATCCAACAACCATGATTGGCAGAAAGTAGGAACTGAAGAGGGTTGGGTCGGCATAGGTATCTATGCAATTCTGCAAGGCATTACCACAGGGGGAACTACAGCTGTCCTGCTAGAGAAAAGTCTTTTGACGATCGTGCATGCAGCATGCACACACAGTTATTGGAATGCACATGAGCAAGCACTAAAAGAAGAAATAATGGAACTTTTGCAGTTATGTCTGCTGCTCCCCGTTCTTAACAATGTTCTTAAACACAACACAATTTGAATGCTTGAGCATCTGGCCAACTTAAAGCAATTAAATTATATGCATTACTGAAAAGACTAGAGAGACAGTCTTATTGATCTCTTTCAGTTTTAACATTAATTGGTAAAATGCTATTACACTACACTAACTTTAAAATGTTGGCCATTTCAGAATTTAAATACACAAATAATTATGATATAATTAACAACTGATCATACATATAATAGCTTGTGTAACTGCAGACTTCTTTCTTCATTACTGGTATGTTATTATCAAAAGTATTTGAATATATTACCATACAAGGTTATAATTCAGCTTTAATATAAGGAAAACAGATGTAGGCGCTCTGTCAACATTCATATTAATTAAAAATATATTCTGGAGAACCATATCATAGTCAGCATCATCTACCACAAACGACACTCACTCCAAATGCATGCTAATAATCTGTATATATCAGATGCTGCCAATGACGCATGGCTGTATTTGGTTAACAATGAGATTTTGACTCAGCAAAAGAAGGCTGAGTTGACCTTAGTAAAGCAGATATGAGAAGACTGAATTAGGGAGTGCCACTCCAGACTTATACTTGGAAGTATCTATTACAAACTCAATTTTGCCTCTTCTCATCTTTCTAATCTTCTTACTCAACTTTAAGTTCACAAAAGAAAATCATATCAGCTTCAAAATGTGCAGATTAGCAGTAGGTAGGGGCCAATGTAATTTTTTTGGCCAAATTTCTAGGGATTTGGACAATACGGTTCCACAAATCTAATTTTCTTTTGACCACAACCACAGAAAACAAATCACAAAATAGAAAGAGAGCAATAAGACTTTGTTAAACAGATTCTAATTAGTACCAATGCCCAGAGTCAAAATGTATTAACTTCGGAATGTGGAACCACTGCTACGGACCTCCAGCTCTCATGCTTTTAACATAGGATGTCCTAGAGAGTCTTCTAGAGAGCTCTGCTTACATTGTCCCCAAGCCCCCACCTTTCTTTGAAGAGACAGGCTTCAAAATGTAACTTATGACTAGCAAGATTTTTCAGTGGACAAACATCTTTTTGGGTCACCTGCAGGGAAAGGAGGAAGAGATGGAAGACAAAGCTTCTAAATTTCACATGTGATTTGGCCCGCTGGACTTCAGGAAGGGAACAAAGACGTGGGAATGCTCCCAAATCATCTTCTACACAGCACAATTCTCTACATCCTACTGGACTCTTAAGGTACATTAAGGGACTCAATTCTGGAAGGGGTCAAACACTCAGATTGGGATCCGCTAAAGCAATTAAGCATGTCTAAATGTTTCTGTAACTTGATAACTGATTTGAAGAGGAAAAAAAAACAATTACATATTTTTGAAGATATGAACTTTTGAGCTGATACGTTGTTGGCTTTATTTACCTTCAGCCAAGGATGATTCAGTGCCTCATAAACTGTTATCCTTTCAGCTGGATCCAGCATAAGCATGCGACGTACCAGATCTTTGGCACTTTCAGAGATATGGCTCCATTGCCTGGGATTCATCTGATTTGCAAGTGAAGAAAAAAATTAAAGCCAGTGACAGAGTATGTTACATAATTCAGTTATTCTGTACAATGAGCAACTTTCTGTACAATGAGCAAGGTATAAGGTTAGGTGACACTGGTACTACCATCAACATTTTATTACTATAAGTGTTCATAAGACTTGTGCACCATTAAAAATAAATATATGCTAGCATGTGAAAACCAAAACATCACGTACAGTGCTTGATGATTATACTACTGGTAATATGGTATCTATTTTTCCACCTACTTTTTTTGCGTAACATTTCCCACAAATCACCCTTCCCTGAACAAAGCAAAAGTAATTATGCTTTGTTTGTGAAAATGAAATGGATGAGGTGAGAAGCTTAGCAGTCACTGTACAACACACTTAAGTTTTGAGCTCCTGGATCTAAGTAAAAGGGAAATCAGTGGTCCGTCCAACACTGTGGTTCTTTGGAATGGAGAGGACCTTGTGGACAACTGCTCTTTCCAAAAGGCCAGTTGAAGATTTAAAGATTTCAGGAGACTTTTCACTATTTCATTGCAGGTAGAATTTCATCCAGAATTGAGAGCAGATATATCAAAATCATTTAGACAAATGTATACCTTGATGTCACTTTTTAGAGTCAGTTTGTAAGTAAAACCACACTAAGCTAGCAACATGCGAAGTTTTGTATAGCATAAACACTAGGGATATTAAATTGCATTTAATCAGCTAATCGAGGTACTTCATTAGTCGATAAGGGGGGAAACTGCAGAACTCTGCTCCTGTGTCTTTTAGATGTATTAAGAGCTGACAGGCTCTTAACACATTTAAAAGACAAAGGCATAGCGGGAGGGGGGGACTGGGCACAAGCCAAGAATCAGCTGTCCCAACTCACGCCTGGGTCCCAGATGCTGCACCTCTGCTTTTTAAATGTATTAAGAGCTGCCAGACCATTGATGGCCCACAGACCATGAGTCTGAGGCCCCTACTATATTGTATACTACAAATGGTAGTATATAATGTATACTATTTGTAAAACTAAGATAACCAGATATTTTAACTCATTTAAGATTGTTCTTTAGCTATGTTTAGTATTTAGAACTACAACAAACATGAGAACACAGATAGTAAATACTGCAATCCTAATCACAAAAACATGTATGCATGTAAGTAGTTGTACTCATAAAATCAGGGCTTAAATTTGATGTTAATTTAGCTACTTAATCTAATAAATGATATGGTAATCTAAATGCCAGAGACTGGTAAACATATACACCATGAAAAAATGAATCAATAATGATATAATTATCTCTATTTGCACATAGAAAGCGGTTGTCTTGTAGAATTTTGCTAATTTCCATCAGGCTAATTAGCAGCCAAAATATAGAAACAACTTCCAGAAATTTTTATAGGAGTTTTAACTCAGTGAAAAAATCATCATGCATATGGTCATTTACCTTATATTTTCCTTTAATAATGCCTTCAAATAATCTTTCCTTGGTTCCATAAAAAGGCAAACAGCCACTTAGTAGAATAAAAAGGATCACTCCACAACCCCAAACATCTACAGGCTTCCCATAGGGTTCTCTTTTTACTACTTCTGGGGCCATAAAATGAGGTGTTCCTACACGTCCTAAATGGAAATAGAAGCAAAATTGAGAGTCATATATTTCAAATATGAAAAGAAAACTGAATAGGAAAGAAATCAATCTGCATTAAACTAAAACAAGTTTTAATGTAGAGATTTATTCATGGATTAAACCAGGGGTTGGCAACCTATGGCTTAGTACAGAACCAAATATGGCTCACAGTTTGAGCTCAGCCTCCCCTCCTTTGCTCCTCCTGTAACACAGAGCCTGTGCAGATGCTCCAGCCTCATGCTCCCCCGACCTTGCAAAACTGAAGCGCCGGCTTCCTGTGTGGGGGAGGAGGGGCAAGAAAACCCTGAGCCTCGCTGCCCCAACGGGGAAGAAGCAGAGCTACACGCAGCTCTGCACACTGTCATTCCCCCAGCTGGGGGAAGGAGAACAGCAGTGAATGGACAAACACTCTGCCTGGAGGCTTTTCTTCATTGCTTCCATTAGCCAGATTCCAAGTTATTTATTAGTTCTCTAAATAGAAGAACTAGAGGACACCAAATGAAGTTAATGGGTAGCAGGTTTAAAACTAATAAAAGAAAGTTCTTCACACAGCTTGTAGTCAACCTGTGGAACTCCTTGCCAGAGGAGGCTGTGAAGGCTAGGACTATAATAGAGTTTAAAGAGAAGCTAGATAATTTCATGGAGGTTAGGTCCATAAAAGGCTATTAGCCAGGGGATAAAATGGTGTCCTTGGCCTCTGTTTGTCAGAGGCTGGAGAGGGATGCCAGGAGACAAATCGCTTGATCATTGTCTTCGGTCCACCCTCTCTGGGGTACCTGGTGCTGGCCACTGTCGGCAGACAGGATACTGGGCTAGATGGACCTTTGGTCTGACCCAGTACGGCCGCTCTTATGTTCTTATGTTATGTTCCTGGAATCCCAGAAGAGTTACTTGACCGGAGACCTTGAACCTCAGTCCTCCCTGCCCTACTCCACCATGGGACTGGAGCACCAGGGGAGTGAGGTGTCTCAGCTGGGGGCCACATCAGTGAGGGTTGGAGGTTTTGGAGGTGTGTGGTTTGTGGGGTTTTTTTGGTGCTTCTCTCTTGTTCGGTCCCCGACTCATTTTTCTCTGGGTTCATGGCTCATGACCCAAAAAAGTTCTGCACCCCTGCCATAAAGAAAGACAATGTTGCAATCTTTTCTGTTGGACATAATATTTTACTTTATTTAGAATTAAGTTTGGAAAACTAACATGAGAAAGTTAAAGTGCTTAATCAGTTTAATAATTTAAATTAATATTTCCTGTCTCACTGGTCAAATCAAACTGTTCTCTCTAGCTGCAGCACTAGCAAAATGACCCTAATCCAGCCCCGATCCCAGCTGTAGGAGGGGCTGGTGGTGGCCTCCCTCCTGCTGCAGCATGGGTACTAGGGGAGGCCAGGATCCAGCTGCAGTGATCCTGGTCTAATCCCTCGTCCATCCACTGCTGCCTGGGTGCAGCAGCTCAGCCCCAGCTCGGTATGGTAATCTGGCCCCAAGGCACCCCACATACTCTGCTTCCTACCTTGCCTCCTGCACCTCCCACAGACCTCAGTCTCCGCCCTGAGTCCTTCATACACTACAACCACGACTCTTGCACCCCAACATCCACAAACTGTGCCCCCAGAAGCAGAAGTCCCATTAAATAAAGTGTGTATCTTTCATTTATGCTGTCATTAATCATCTTGTCAATCAATAATATTAAGTTGTATATTTTCAGTCATGCAAATGGGCATTCTTATACTGGCTCTCTATTGACCACTGGTTCTGAATTTTGATGCAGTTTGGCTCTTTGGACTGAAAAAGTTGCTGACCCCTTGATTAAACAGTTTTTTTAGACAATGTTTTTCTTTTTCTGTGTTCATTATTTGTGAAATGTGTCACAAATAATGGAGTTGGAGTAGTCCCTTATTTCTCTGTTCCTTCAATACATTGGGTAAAATATTTACCTACCTTCCAAAAATGCTCTGAAATTAAAAGGTCATTTAAAAAAGCTTAGATATCCTTGGTGAGTTGTGCTATATAACAAGCATCTGACAGCCTTGATGAGCAAAACTATTTATCCACAGAACACATACAAAGGAAGACTGTTTCACCCTAAATACCTCAAAGTTTATTAATTTGATTTGGAGCAGCCACGTCTAGAAACGAGATGGCTGCTGAGGCGCCACGTCCTTGACCTTTTCACTGAAACTTCCAATAAAGGCATGAAACTGAGCCTAATGTTTTGTGGTATGGACTTTGTCCACGAAGACTTATACCGACAACTCTCATCATTTGCGAATCTTTTGGGTGCAGGTTTGAACTAGTGGTTAAAGAGAGGACCATTCAAATAATTATTTTTATGCTTAACATATCTGAACTTTCAAGAGAGTAAAAACCTGAAGCATGTTTCTTAGGATTACTTTTGCTCAATAACTGACATATTCAACTAAACAAAAGTAATAAAATGCATTTTGTTGCCCTCTATACATTCATCCTCAAATGGTCTGCGTTGCGAAAGAACTACAGAAGAACTGCAAATGTAACTTGCCAACAATAGGAGTTTTTTCTGTACTGTATGAGCTGCCTTAGGACTTCACTGGCATCTTGGAAAATCATGAGTTGATTGACAGCTGTTACCACCATCAGATGTATCATTATTTATGTGCCCAGACTCAATTGTGATAGAGTCCAAAAGCCCAAGTCAGGCCCATAGTGCTGGCCACTATACAAACACAGATGAAAGGATGCTCTCCACCCCTCAGAGATTACAACCTATAGGACTCAACTGCTACTACCATTTAATGCTACAGCTTATGAAAGGACTGCTTTTTCCTGGGCACCCACAAGACAAGAAAACACCAGGGATATGCCTTAAATTGGTTTTACAATTTTATAAATAAACAAATCTAAGAACTGTCTGGCACTAGTTTGTCTAATTCAGGTCATCCTGCCTTAGTATTCTATTCCATCTGTTCCCAGTAATCTGATTTCAGCATCACTGGTGGGATTCTGCCTTTGTATGAGGACTAAGATATGGTGAAGAGGGTGCTGTTTCCTCACTGTCCCAGACATTAGGAACCCCAACCTCACTTTATTTCAATGCCTTCTTCTAATTTGTTTCCAATTACGATTTATCAAGGAACTGGAGATCCTAACTGAATGATTACTTGCATGGGGCATGTGACAACTTGTAATGAAATTAATTTTATAATCGAACCCACCCACCTGGTCTCCAAGCTGCTGAGAGGAAGGTGAAAAACCCTCACCTTACCCAGGCCAATGTGGTAGTAAGGGAAAAATTCCTTCTCAGCCTCCAAAAAGAGACTAGCACCCAAAGCAAAACCCAGAAACGTAGCCTACTCTAATCCTAATAGGAGGGAGAGGGGAAGTTTTACTTCTAGTGCAGACTGGTGCCCCAGGACAGGGGGAAAGGCTTTTAAACCCTCTACTGAGGTACATGGGTGTGAATAGATTTATCCTGCACTCATCTGCCAAACCAGTTAAATCAACAGAACCCCCATCCTTTAGACCACAAGGACGGAGGGTTATGTGGAATCCTTAAAAGGGTCAAGGGTTTTCTTTCTCCTGCTGGCCCAGACTAAGCTGCTCCACCTCTGAGGCTGTAGGGGGAAGCATTTATGGAGTCCAAGATTACCAAGCTGCTTAGGATCATATGAATTTTTCCCCGATCCATAGCACAGAATATTAGTGCTAGTAGTTACACTGCTTATAGGAGAGCCTCTTTCAGCTTAATATTAGAACTACTTGGACAAGGAGGTTATTTACCTGTAAATGGAGGTTCTTTGAGATTTGTAGTTCCTGTCTGTAGGCCACTTAGGATTTTATGCACATGTACCCTATGTCTGGAGTTGGAGAGTTTAAAAGTCCATGCATACTTCTTGACTCAACTCATGTTTTCATCCAACATAAAGGCTGGGACAGACTGTATCTCCAATTCCTTCACCACTACAAATCCAACAGATTTGCAGCAGAATGGAGGAGTGCAGGAAACAGAATACAGATAGAAGAATCTCTAGTTACATCTTGAGGAACCTCTCATTGCAGTAAGTAATCTTCCCCTCTTCCTCAAGCTTTTGGCCTCATGCATTGTTTGTTGATGTAACCAATAGTTGTTGACTTGTCTAACATGAAAATATGATGGGAACATATGAATGGGAGGCCCAACATGCCTGCCTTACAGCTCAGAGCTCCAGAATTCTGATGTATATTCTGAACCTCCAAAGAGTTCATATTCCATGTCACATGTTCACCCATTTGTGCTTTGCAGCTTAGGAGGGCTGTGTTGGTGATAATAGCCTTTGTCTGGAGAGTGGGGTAGGAAGGGATCCCTACACAGACCCAGCGCTGGTCCCTCCATCAATGGAATGATGACATTACCTTAGGAAGAATTGTCAGCATCAGATCCATGGTGTGCTGACTCAGAGAATAAACCGATTTCCACTCAATTGGGAGCTACATAAACTAATTTTAGAACTTGACAGAAAAGACAGCATCCATGACTAGCTCATAAAATTGGCTATTGACTCTATTCATGTCATTGCTGACCTGACAAGGAACCTGGCAAAAAGCAGCCAGAAGAAATCCCCTACTGCATATAACAAAGCTCTTCATTTCAGCAAATAATTTTGGTTGGAAAGCCTTCAAGAATCTAGGGACCTATAGGATTACATATTTCACCCTGTACTTCAGAACGCACACACAAAACAAACTGCAACCTGAGTGTCACATTTAAGCTGTCAGGCAGAAAAACAACAACAGAAATTTTAGCCTACTTTATGTAACAGAGTTAAAATTGTGTGCGCGTGCACACACACATTTTCCTCATGTGGCCTCAACTGTTTTTGTTCACATCAGAAGAGGAAATGAAACTAATGAGGTTATGTTTCAAAATTTAGGACTTCCACATTGCCTCACAGTGTTGCTGCTATGTCAGCAAACCAGTTTTGAAAAAAAAGCATATCACACAAAACACCTTTTTAGGTTAAAACTTCAAAGGTTATGTGTAAGGCTGCATTTTTGTCATGGAAGTCATAGATTCCATTACTTTTTGTGACCTCTGTGACTTCTACAGCAGCTGGTGTGGCTGGCTCCTGACATATTAGGCAACCCTCTAGCCAACATCACCGGCTGCAGCCAGAACGGTTTGGATGTGGAAGGGGGCTGAGGGCTAGAACAAGGGGTTGAGTTTCAGGGTCGTGCTTATCTTGAAGGGGGCTCTCCATAAGCGGCTGGCATGTACATGTAGCTCCTAGGAAAAAGGAAGGTAGGGGGACTCCTCCACATGTTGCCCTCACTGCTCCCATTGGTTGCAGTTCTCAGCCAATGGGAGCTGCAGAGCCAGAGCTTGTGGAGGGAGCAACACATGAAAGAGCCCCCTGGCCTTCCCTCTCCCTAAGAACTGTAGGGACATGCTGCCTGCTTGTCCATGCTGCCTGCTTGTCTATGCTGCCTACCAACCCTTCCCCTCACACACCAGCTGAAATGCCACACTGCATGAAGCCTATGCATTTCCTTCCCCTTCCCCCCCCCCCCCGCAGTGTTGTTGGTCCCAGGCCATATGCTGTCAGTTGCTTCCCCATACCCCTGAGCATCCACATGGGTCCGGGGCCACACTGCCAGCCAGGGATCCTCTTCCCCCAGCACTCCGTCCAAAAGCACCATGGGAGTTCTGGTTCACATCCCACCCCAGCACCTGCAGGAGTCCCAGATGATGTGTTGCCAGCCCCCCCAGCCACTCATAGCACCTGATGTCTCCAAGCCCAGGTTTTAGTTAGAGGTATATAGTATAAGTCATGGACAAGATACAGAACATGAATTTTTGCTTACTGTCCATGACTTTTACTAAAAATACCCATGACTAAAACATAGCCTTAGTTATGTGCTGAATGCCATAAAATGGTGAAGGACACTGATACACTTATGGTATTTGATAAAAAAAAAAAAATTAAGTCAGCAAGAATACAGGCCTCCCCTGAATTCAATGGTTTCTTTGTGTTAAAACTCTGCAGCTCTTTTCTGGGGATGTCATACCTATTGTTGATATTTAATTGCTCTGGAGAAAGTGGGTTGCATATATATTGAACAAGACCCTTTTCCAAATATCCTATTTTTATTAGGGATGTTAAATTTCAATGAATTAACTAATTGAATAGTCAATGGGATTTCCATCGATTATTCGATTGGTCAATAAGGACTAGTGTGGCATTCTGCCATTGAAATGTACAAGAGCTCCAGCAGGACCTCTTGTGCATTTCAAAGACTGAAATGCCGCGTGGAGCCCGAGGCCAGTGGGGAGTCCCCCATTAACCCCAGGCTCCATGTGGCATTTCAATCTTTCAAATGCTCAAGAGCCCCTGCTGGAGCTCTTGTACATTTCAAAGTGGAAGCACCAGCATGGAGCCTGAGGTCAGAGAACTCCCCGCTGGCCCTGGGGGCTCTTGTACATTTCAAAATAG